CCCCAGCTCACTGCCTGTACCCCCAGTACCCTGCCTGCACCCCCTGGTTCCCTGCCTGCACCCCACATGCCCCCCCAGCTCCCAGCATGCTCCCCGTCTCCCTGCCTGTACCCTGCCTGCCTGCTCAGGTCCCTGCCTGCACCCCACATGCCCCCCCGGCTCCCTGCCTGCTCCCCAGCTCACTGCCTGTACCCCCAGTACCCTGCCTGCACCCCCTGGTTCCCTGCCTGCACCCCACATGCCCCCCCAGCTCCCAGCATGCTCCCCGTCTCCCTGCCTGTACCCTGCCTGCCTGCTCAGGTCCCTGCCTGCACCCCACATGCCCCCCCGGCTCCCTGCCTGCTCCCCAGCTCACTGCCTGTACCCCCAGTACCCTGCCTGCACCCCCTGGTTCCCTGCCTGCACCCCACATGCCCCCCCAGCTCCCAGCATGCTCCCCGTCTCCCTGCCTGTACCCTGCCTGCCTGCTCAGGTCCCTGCCTGCACCCCACATGCCCCCCCGGCTCCCTGCCTGCTCCCCAGCTCACTGCCTGTACCCCCAGTACCCTGCCTGCACCCCCTGGTTCCCTGCCTGCACCCCACATGCCCCCCCAGCTCCCAGCATGCTCCCCGTCTCCCTGCCTGTACCCTGCCTGCCTGCTCAGGTCCCTGCCTGCACCCCACATGCCCCCCCGGCTCCCTGCCTGCTCCCCAGCTCACTGCCTGTACCCCCAGTACCCTGCCTGCACCCCCTGGTTCCCTGCCTGCACCCCACATGCCCCCCCAGCTCCCAGCATGCTCCCCGTCTCCCTGCCTGTACCCTGCCTGCCTGCTCAGGTCCCTGCCTGCACCCCACATGCCCCCCCGGCTCCCTGCCTGCTCCCCAGCTCACTGCCTGTACCCCCAGTACCCTGCCTGCACCCCCTGGTTCCCTGCCTGCACCCCACATGCCCCCCCAGCTCCCAGCATGCTCCCCGTCTCCCTGCCTGTACCCTGCCTGCCTGCTCAGGTCCCTGCCTGCACCCCACATGCCCCCCCGGCTCCCTGCCTGCTCCCCAGCTCACTGCCTGTACCCCCAGTACCCTGCCTGCACCCCCTGGTTCCCTGCCTGCACCCCACATGCCCCCCCAGCTCCCAGCATGCTCCCCGTCTCCCTGCCTGTACCCTGCCTGCCTGCTCAGGTCCCTGCCTGCACCCCACATGCCCCCCCGGCTCCCTGCCTGCTCCCCAGCTCACTGCCTGTACCCCCAGTACCCTGCCTGCACCCCCTGGTTCCCTGCCTGCACCCCACATGCCCCCCCAGCTCCCAGCATGCTCCCCGTCTCCCTGCCTGTACCCTGCCTGCCTGCTCAGGTCCCTGCCTGCACCCCACATGCCCCCCCGGCTCCCTGCCTGCTCCCCAGCTCACTGCCTGTACCCCCAGTACCCTGCCTGCACCCCCTGGTTCCCTGCCTGCACCCCACATGCCCCCCCAGCTCCCAGCATGCTCCCCGTCTCCCTGCCTGTACCCTGCCTGCCTGCTCAGGTCCCTGCCTGCACCCCACATGCCCCCCCGGCTCCCTGCCTGCTCCCCAGCTCACTGCCTGTACCCCCAGTACCCTGCCTGCACCCCCTGGTTCCCTGCCTGCACCCCACATGCCCCCCCAGCTCCCAGCATGCTCCCCGTCTCCCTGCCTGTACCCTGCCTGCCTGCTCAGGTCCCTGCCTGCACCCCACATGCCCCCCCGGCTCCCTGCCTGCTCCCCAGCTCACTGCCTGTACCCCCAGTACCCTGCCTGCACCCCCTGGTTCCCTGCCTGCACCCCACATGCCCCCCCAGCTCCCAGCATGCTCCCCGTCTCCCTGCCTGTACCCTGCCTGCCTGCTCAGGTCCCTGCCTGCACCCCACATGCCCCCCCGGCTCCCTGCCTGCTCCCCAGCTCACTGCCTGTACCCCCAGTACCCTGCCTGCACCCCCTGGTTCCCTGCCTGCACCCCACATGCCCCCCCAGCTCCCAGCATGCTCCCCGTCTCCCTGCCTGTACCCTGCCTGCCTGCTCAGGTCCCTGCCTGCACCCCACATGCCCCCCCGGCTCCCTGCCTGCTCCCCAGCTCACTGCCTGTACCCCCAGTACCCTGCCTGCACCCCCTGGTTCCCTGCCTGCACCCCACATGCCCCCCCAGCTCCCAGCATGCTCCCCGTCTCCCTGCCTGTACCCTGCCTGCCTGCTCAGGTCCCTGCCTGCACCCCACATGCCCCCCCGGCTCCCTGCCTGCTCCCCAGCTCACTGCCTGTACCCCCAGTACCCTGCCTGCACCCCCTGGTTCCCTGCCTGCACCCCACATGCCCCCCCAGCTCCCAGCATGCTCCCCGTCTCCCTGCCTGTACCCTGCCTGCCTGCTCAGGTCCCTGCCTGCACCCCACATGCCCCCCCGGCTCCCTGCCTGCTCCCCAGCTCACTGCCTGTACCCCCAGTACCCTGCCTGCACCCCCTGGTTCCCTGCCTGCACCCCACATGCCCCCCCAGCTCCCAGCATGCTCCCCGTCTCCCTGCCTGTACCCTGCCTGCCTGCTCAGGTCCCTGCCTGCACCCCACATGCCCCCCCGGCTCCCTGCCTGCTCCCCAGCTCACTGCCTGTACCCCCAGTACCCTGCCTGCACCCCCTGGTTCCCTGCCTGCACCCCACATGCCCCCCCAGCTCCCAGCATGCTCCCCGTCTCCCTGCCTGTACCCTGCCTGCCTGCTCAGGTCCCTGCCTGCACCCCACATGCCCCCCCGGCTCCCTGCCTGCTCCCCAGCTCACTGCCTGTACCCCCAGTACCCTGCCTGCACCCCCTGGTTCCCTGCCTGCACCCCACATGCCCCCCCAGCTCCCAGCATGCTCCCCGTCTCCCTGCCTGTACCCTGCCTGCCTGCTCAGGTCCCTGCCTGCACCCCACATGCCCCCCCGGCTCCCTGCCTGCTCCCCAGCTCACTGCCTGTACCCCCAGTACCCTGCCTGCACCCCCTGGTTCCCTGCCTGCACCCCACATGCCCCCCCAGCTCCCAGCATGCTCCCCGTCTCCCTGCCTGTACCCTGCCTGCCTGCTCAGGTCCCTGCCTGCACCCCACATGCCCCCCCGGCTCCCTGCCTGCTCCCCAGCTCACTGCCTGTACCCCCAGTACCCTGCCTGCACCCCCTGGTTCCCTGCCTGCACCCCACATGCCCCCCCAGCTCCCAGCATGCTCCCCGTCTCCCTGCCTGTACCCTGCCTGCCTGCTCAGGTCCCTGCCTGCACCCCACATGCCCCCCCGGCTCCCTGCCTGCTCCCCAGCTCACTGCCTGTACCCCCAGTACCCTGCCTGCACCCCCTGGTTCCCTGCCTGCACCCCACATGCCCCCCCAGCTCCCAGCATGCTCCCCGTCTCCCTGCCTGTACCCTGCCTGCCTGCTCAGGTCCCTGCCTGCACCCCACATGCCCCCCCGGCTCCCTGCCTGCTCCCCAGCTCACTGCCTGTACCCCCAGTACCCTGCCTGCACCCCCTGGTTCCCTGCCTGCACCCCACATGCCCCCCCAGCTCCCAGCATGCTCCCCGTCTCCCTGCCTGTACCCTGCCTGCCTGCTCAGGTCCCTGCCTGCACCCCACATGCCCCCCCGGCTCCCTGCCTGCTCCCCAGCTCACTGCCTGTACCCCCAGTACCCTGCCTGCACCCCCTGGTTCCCTGCCTGCACCCCACATGCCCCCCCAGCTCCCAGCATGCTCCCCGTCTCCCTGCCTGTACCCTGCCTGCCTGCTCAGGTCCCTGCCTGCACCCCACATGCCCCCCCGGCTCCCTGCCTGCTCCCCAGCTCACTGCCTGTACCCCCAGTACCCTGCCTGCACCCCCTGGTTCCCTGCCTGCACCCCACATGCCCCCCCAGCTCCCAGCATGCTCCCCGTCTCCCTGCCTGTACCCTGCCTGCCTGCTCAGGTCCCTGCCTGCACCCCACATGCCCCCCCGGCTCCCTGCCTGCTCCCCAGCTCACTGCCTGTACCCCCAGTACCCTGCCTGCACCCCCTGGTTCCCTGCCTGCACCCCACATGCCCCCCCAGCTCCCAGCATGCTCCCCGTCTCCCTGCCTGTACCCTGCCTGCCTGCTCAGGTCCCTGCCTGCACCCCACATGCCCCCCCGGCTCCCTGCCTGCTCCCCAGCTCACTGCCTGTACCCCCAGTACCCTGCCTGCACCCCCTGGTTCCCTGCCTGCACCCCACATGCCCCCCCAGCTCCCAGCATGCTCCCCGTCTCCCTGCCTGTACCCTGCCTGCCTGCTCAGGTCCCTGCCTGCACCCCACATGCCCCCCCGGCTCCCTGCCTGCTCCCCAGCTCACTGCCTGTACCCCCAGTACCCTGCCTGCACCCCCTGGTTCCCTGCCTGCACCCCACATGCCCCCCCAGCTCCCAGCATGCTCCCCGTCTCCCTGCCTGTACCCTGCCTGCCTGCTCAGGTCCCTGCCTGCACCCCACATGCCCCCCCGGCTCCCTGCCTGCTCCCCAGCTCACTGCCTGTACCCCCAGTACCCTGCCTGCACCCCCTGGTTCCCTGCCTGCACCCCACATGCCCCCCCAGCTCCCAGCATGCTCCCCGTCTCCCTGCCTGTACCCTGCCTGCCTGCTCAGGTCCCTGCCTGCACCCCACATGCCCCCCCGGCTCCCTGCCTGCTCCCCAGCTCACTGCCTGTACCCCCAGTACCCTGCCTGCACCCCCTGGTTCCCTGCCTGCACCCCACATGCCCCCCCGGCTCCCTGCCTGCTCCCCAGCTCACTGCCTGTACCCCCAGTACCCTGCCTGCACCCCCTGGTTCCCTGCCTGCACCCCACATGCCCCCCCAGCTCCCAGCATGCTCCCCGTCTCCCTGCCTGTACCCTGCCTGCCTGCTCAGGTCCCTGCCTGCACCCCACATGCCCCCCCAGTTCCCTGCCTGCTCCCCAGCTCACTGCCTGTACCCCCAGCTCACTGCCTGCCCCCCCTGGTTCCCTGCCTGCCCCCCAGGCCGGCTCAGAGCAGCCCCAGCCCTGCCGGGATGTGTCCCCAAACCCTGAGGTGTCCCCTCCCCCGGGCCACCCCATGCTGAGCCCTGCTGGCCTGGCCTACACCAGCACGGGCACAGTGGCCGGGCCAGGCGGCACCGGCACCTGGTGGCTCCCGGCCCGGCCCGTACCTGGGCAGCAGCGAGCGTCTCCAGCTGGCTCAGGCGCTCCTGCACTCGCCGCATGTCATCCTGCAGGGCCCGCACGGTGCCGGCCACGTGGGCGTCCAGCTGGTCCAGCAGCCCCTGGGCAAGCTGGGGGGCACTCCTGGCATCCTGCTCTCCCTCGGGGAGCTGGAGATCTGTGGGGCACAGAGATGGGCCCTGCTCAGTGGGGCAGGCACCCGCGGGGATGGGGCCGGGCAGGTCGAGCACCCCTCATGCCCCCCAGGACCTCTGCTTGCCCAACGGCCAGCAACGGAGCTCACCAGTGCCCACAGTGCAGGGTGCCACCACACCAGAGCTGGCAGCTCCCAGCCCACATCCCTCTCCCCCAGCCCTCCCTGGGGACACGGGCCACCGCATCCCCCCAGGTGCTGGCAGTGGGTGACCTCCAGCCCACCAGCATGGTGCTGTGGTGGTGCACAGGGGTCACCTCCCTTCACCCAGCAATGCCCGGACACCAAACACCAGGCACGACGCTGTGCCTGCACCGCTGCCCCCCTGCCAGCCCCCAGCCCCACAAACACCCGGGTGACGGGCGCTGCAAGGGCTCAGTGCCAGCCCCTCTGGCACCCGGGGAACAGCCCAGCTTCACCATCCCCCTTCCAAACCAACTGCCAGGGTCAGGCAGCACAGGAGGGTTTTCCTTCAGAATGGGGGAGAAGATAAGCTTGAGACGGGGGGGGCTGCACCCAGGCGAGGTGGTGGCACCACCCCTGCTGTCCCATGGGTGAGGGTGGCAATGCCACCTTGGAGCAGGCACTCCTCGCCTGGCTGCTGGCGAGGAACAAGCAGAGCATCCCCCAAATTTAAGCTATTTAGGGAGACATGGGCAACACGAGACTTGTCCTTGGGGGGTAAAGACACCGAACTGCTTTGGGGACCAAGGGACGGAGAGAGGGGATGCACAGCTACTGAAGGACCCAGCAGTGGGTGCTGGAGCCAAACCCTGTGCCCCGTTGGTGGTGGCAGCCCCCCGAGAGCCCGCCCTAGCACCGAGAGGGAGCAGCAGGAAGGCGCGCAGGAGCCAAACGCTGCACCCACCTCTCTCAGAGCCAGGGGCTGCCAGGCCCGCGCCGCTCCTCCCCTCTCCTCTTCTGCCTTCGCCCAGCTCCCCCTGCCCGGTGCCGCGGGGCCTGGGGGGCTCATGCCCGGCCCGGCCCCCGTCCGGGGAGAGACCCAGCGGCCGCCCAGCCTGCGCCAGGGGAGAGAAGAAGGGCCCTGAGACCCCCGCTGGCCCCCCCAGGGGCAGGGCCGGCCAGAGGTGGGCGATGCCAGGGTGGTGGTGGTGTCTGTCCCCCAGCCCCGTGGTAGCGGTGTCTGTCCCCCAGCCCCACGGTGGCAGTTTGGGTGACAGGAGGGCATGTGGGGCTGAGCAAAGCCGAATTCCACCAGCAGCAGCAGCACCAGGGGGGTCGGGAGGAGATGGAGCAGAATGCCCAGGCTCAAGGTGGCAAAAGAGCTCCAGAAGCCGGGCAGCCACGTGGCTTTTTCCCCCCTGCCCACGGGATCCACCAAGCCTCACGGTAGCCCCTTGAGTGCCAAACAGGGAGCAGAGAGTGAGGGGCAGGGGTGCAAGTGAGGTGGCCACACCAGGCCTGCTTGGGGCTACCAGCCTCGCTCAGCTCCCCAGTGCCCCACCGGAGCCACACCACAGGAATGGGGGGGCTGTGGGTGGCACTGGGGCTCCTCAGCCTCCCCTCGGTGACAGGGACCAGGCTCCAAGAGGGACACAAGGCAGAGAGAGGTGCAGCCGGGTGGCCTCACAGGTTTGGGGAGTGTCACTGGGCTCCAGGGTGGTGGCACCGAGCTGGCAGCGTGGCGGTGCTGCGGTGGCGTGTGGAGCACGGCGAGATCTGCCCGCAGGGCGCAGGCAGGGCAGGGCTGGCAGCAGGCAAGGGCTCCCAGTGCCTCCCAGCCCTCCGTTACCTGCTCGGGCTCCATCTGCTCCAGGGTGTCACAGTACACGTCCCCCTCAGAGTCACTGGGCACCTGGCCCCCCTCCAGCACCTCGGCGGCAGGAGCCAGCCCCCCTCCTGGAAGGGAAGCAGAGGGCTGAGCCCTGGGCAGGGCCGGGCAGGGCAGCGTTGGGGCCGTGTCCCAAGGGCAGCAGCAGCTCAGCGCAGGCAGAAGGGAAGGGGTCTGCGGGCGGGCAGGACGGCAGCGTCTGCGTGCACAAGGCGAGGCAGGAGGAGAAGGAAACTGAGGCACGGGGCGGGGAGGAACCAGCTCTGTTACCACCACCCGCATCGTGGCCGTGAATCCAAAGCCTGACTGCCCCCTTTCTCCTGCCCACGCTGTCAGAGCCCCCCTCAGGGGCCAGCATGTCCCCACACAGTGCCATTTTAGGGTGGGTTTCTCTGCCCATATGTGGCTCCCACCTGGGGTGGGTGGCCAGCCAAAGCCCCAGCAGAGTGGGGAGCCCCTCAGTGGGATCCACAGCCCCCGCTGCTCCAGAGGGAGCAGGTACCATTCCCACAGCGCCAACTGCCACCAGGGTGACAGCACGTCCCGCTGCCCAGCTCCCCTCACGCTGCCAGCCCAGGAGGATGGGCACAAGAGCTCAGTGACCATATATGCTCCTTGAGGGAGGGCCAGGATGGCAGCAGGAGGAACATGTCCCTCCCCGGAGCACCCTGCCCAACGCAGGGCACAGCGAGAGGGCTGGGAGAGCTGTGTGTGCCCTCGGGGAACGTGGCACTCGGTGGGCGAGCGTGAGGGGGGCTGTACAAGAAAAGCCAGGACCAAGGTGTCAACCACGGGACAGGCAGAGAGAGCTGGGGCTCAACCCCGTGGCTCCCAGTGCTGCAGAAAGGCCAAACTTGGCTTGAGCTGATGGAGAAGGTCCTCTCCTTGAACACGGACCATCCAAGGCTATGTTTTTCCCAGTCCACAGGGAAACACTCTCCTCATCTCACTGCGGTTTGGCAGAACCGGGCCCCTTGGCACAGGTAAGAGCAAGGCAGAGTCCAACCACCACGCTCAGGGTTACCCTGGCATCCAGAGCAGCCCCACAAACAGCTCCAGCTCGACGCCACTTGGGCGACACCCGGGACGCCAGCAGGATGGTGGGACCAGAGGGGCCTGAAGCCAACAGTTCCCCAGCCCCGTGGCCGGTGTCTCCTCCGTGGGGTCTCTGCCGGGTGCTGGCCACACCAGGGAGACCAACCTGGCACGTGTGGCCCGTTGTGCTGCTCCTCGGGCAGGGTGTCCTCGGGGCGCTGCGGGGCCGGGCTGCTCGCTGGCTGGTCCTGGCTGGGGTCAGCTGCCTGCTCCCGAGTGCCTGCAGGGAGGGGAAGGGCAGAGAATTAACAGTGGTGGGTGATCCCAGCAGCACAGGGTCTCTGCGGGCTGGGCTCAGTGCCACCTCCCTGCCAGCACGGCTTGGGGACAGTGGATGCAGGGCCACCCCCCTGCCAGGGAGGATGGCAACCTCCAGACACACTCAGTGGCCAGCAGGGATGGAGAGAGACCAGCTCTGTTTGCTGATGGCCAGCACCAATGCAGACTCACCCAGTCAGCAGGATCTACCCCATGCAGACTGTCTTGCTCACTCGGGGGTGACAGGGGAGTCCCTGTCCCCCAAGCCCCTGTGGCAGCAGCCAGAGGGGTCAGCACCATCCTCGTCCCCTGGCAGGGCACATGGCACACCCACGGTGACCAACAGAGCCTAACGCAAGAAGCAAGGCTGGGGAGAGCCTTGTCCTGGGGGCTTTCAGCCAGCAGCAGCACCCCAGAGCGGGCCCAGGGATCCAGCCCTCCCCACCGAGCCCATGGGGTTAAGCCCAGACAAGTTTCCAGTGGGGAACAAGTTTCCACTGGGGACTTTGCCCCCAGCTCCTGGCCAGGCAGGTATGTGGCAATGCTGCCCTGCACATCTCCACCTCTCCCAACCTGCCTTTGCCACCACAGAGCACCCACAGCTGCAGGATCCCCCCATCTCGGGTGACTAAGCCCCCCCAAGGGGGACGAGAGCAGCCATTGCCCCACACAGGAGGTAGGGCCGGGGTTGCTCTGCTCAGGGACCATCATCACGGTCCCCAAATCCCTCCTCAGCCTCTGCGCTGTCACCCCTGAGCCTGTCCCACAGGGTCCTGCCATCTCACACGTCACCATCTGCCTCCAACACTGCCCCCCCCTGCATCCATGGGGCTGGCAGAGCAGCACCAGGCCTGGTCGTTAAGGGCTTAATTGTCACTTCCCACTGGCTTCAGAGTCTTGGCCTACGTGTATGAGATGCTGGTGAGGCCGGAGACCTGCCTGGACCCTGAACTGCTCACAATTTGGGTCCCAAGTGCCACTTTAGGGTGTGTTGACTTTGTAAATAAAACAAAACCAAACCTGCCCAGGCTCCCCCTGTACAGTGCCCCTGTCCCCAAAAAGCTCTGCAGCCACCAAGGGCTCTGTGCCCGTCACACACCGCTCTCACCCACCGCAGCGGCTAAAACCACCCTTCTCCTCTGGATTGCTGATAACAGCAGCTGCAATCGCCCCAAATCTGAAGGTGGTTTTGAGAACCTTTAACACAAATGACTCAACAGCACAAGAAGTTCAGCAGCTTAAACCAGGCGCCTCGGGCTCATTCGCTCCACAGGTGCCACGGTGGATTTTAAGTGACAGAGTATCACTTCCAGGTGACAGTAGTGCAGGATGACACTCCCAAACAGGTAACGGCCAGGAGTTTAGACCCAGCTTTTCTGTTCCAGGTAAAAGTCAAGTCTATTTGCCTTCTAAAGGCATTCAGCATCACAATGGAAAACAGCTGCGCTCGCTGGGTACCGCAGGGCGGCGCAGCCATCCCGAGGCCAAGCCCTACAGGCGGTGTGTTTTTGGCATCCTTGTTGAAAGCAGGGGGTGACAGTAGCTGTCAGGCACAGGACAGATGCCTGGGGACAGGCGGGGAGGGAGGCTGTTTGTCAGTGCTCTTCCAACATTAGCAGAGCACTGACAGTTTACACACCTGCTGTGAATGCACCCCGAGAGCTCATCTGCTGCCGAGCCCGTCCGCTGGAGACAGGGCACGGCCAAACCTCCAGACACGCAGCTCCACGGCAGGAAACACCTTCCTGAACCAGCACGTCCAGCCCCTCGCTCCCTCAGAATCATAGAATCACAGAATGGTCCAGGCCGGAAGGGACCTCCAAAGGCCATCTAGTCCCACCCCCCTGCAGTCAGCAGGGACACCCCCAACTAGACCAGGTTGCCCAGGGCCTCGTCGAGCCTCTCCTTGAATATCTCCAGGGATGGGGCCTCAACCACCTCCCTGGGCAACCTGTTCCAGTGCTCCACCACCCTCACAGTGAAGAACCCTCTCCTCATCTCCAGTCTAAATCTGTTCCCCTCCAGCTTGAAGCCATTGCCCCTCGTCCTGTCACTGCAGGCCTTTCTAAACAGGTTCTCCCCAGCCTTCCTGTAGGCTCCCTTCAGGTACTGGAAGGCTGCTATTAGGTCTCCCTGGAGCCTCCTCTTCTCCAGGCTGAACAACCCCAGCTCCCTCAGAAGCTTCTCAGAAGTCAGGTACACGGAGGATTTGCCCCGCTCCAGGGGTGGGACAGGCCCCCAGCCACCTCTCAGCCTGGGGCAGCAGCCTCAGGCATGGAAAAGGCTGGGAAGTACTCGGAGTACTGGGAAGTACTCTGATCTAGCACCAGGCAGTCCCAGTAATCCCATTTCTCAACCCTGGTTTCTCCACATCCACTCTGCAGCAGAAGCTGGCTGACCTGCCCTGGTGTTTACATCAGATGACCCGCACTCGCCGTGCACAGCCCGCCCTGCCAAGGGAGAGCGTGCCCTTCCCACCACAACTCCCCTCGGGAGCCCACCCCCGGCTCGGCCGCCCGCAGGGATCTGAGCCAAGGGGCGTTTGGAAGCCGGATCTCGAGTTCTGTCCTCAAAGTTTCAGGGAGAGAAAGCCCAGGCTGAAGAAACACCTGCGTGACTTGAAGAGACACTTGGCTGGGGTCACCCAAACAAGCGCCTGGGCAGCAGCTGGGGGCTGGCAGGGGAGTCAGACGGGACGTGGTGCATCCATCCTGTCCCCCTCCCTCAAGGAATCATAGAATCATTGAGGTTGGATCCCCCCTTGGGATCATCGAGTCCAACCATCTCCCCTACTCTACAAAGTCCTCCCCTACACCATGTCCCTCAGCACTGCATCTAAACGGCCCTTAAACACAGCCAGGGATGGGGACTCCACCCCCTCCCTGGGCAGCCTGTTCCAATGCCCGACCACTCTTTGGGTGAAAAATTCCTTCCTAATGTTCA